AAGCACAACATCATCAATTGCTGGTTTAAATGCACGGAACACATATCTGAATATATATTCTGGTATTTCTGCACTGCACTCAAGCTTCCATTCAACAACAGTCCCGTAGTTAAAGTGTTGCAATGCGAACATCTACATGGGTAGAGATGCAAATGACTTATCCCAGTCACCGTAAACAATTTCAAATGCACGTTTGCGCTCAAGATATGTATTTCTTTTGGTAACAGTACACCCATATTCCTAGTGGATGGATGTAACATACTCTTTGATCTTGTACCTTATGGACGCTTCAATGCGTGGAATCAAGAGAAGAGAAATCAAGTCAACATCCAAGTTGAAGTGATTCCCACTGAATGTGTCCATTTCACAATTGTGGGTGCTAATGTATTTACCCACTTTCCACATATTTGTTTTCTTCTTTATCGCACGTAGCATCCAATTACACTCGTAAACCATCTACGGCAAACAACCTTGTATACATCCGGAGATGACTCTCATACAATCATCTCACGACACTCTTTTGCACTGTATATTTTCACCGCCCTGCTTAGGCATGCTTTACCAGGAAAAAGTATGCCCTTTGACAACACCATTGGTCTAGATTCATCCCACATTGCTGCCCGATTTTCGTCAATATCCCTTGTGAGGGCATCTACATCCGGCGTACTAGGCAAATGATCAAGGTAGGGAATATGCCTTGAATAAAACGGCACGTGAGACTCGTACACTCTTGGTCTAACGGGAGGTGGAACATGCTCCCTCATCAAATCAGGTTCAGTATTCTCTTCCTTCTCATCATCACCCTCGTCACGGAAGGGTGTATCATCTCTAGACTCATCAATATTGTTGTCATAATCACTATTATCTTCCTGACTCTACGCATCTGCCAAATCCCGAGTAAATACGTCGTCTACGGGCAATTGAGTGAGGACAGAACCATCAAGTTGCTCGTTTTCACTGCACAACCAAATAAATAATGAGTTACTAGAATTGGTCCAAACAATACATATAACTTTATATATTTACTTACAAATCATAATGTGTTGATATCTCATGATGCACATTATCTCGTTGATGCTGACTCCTGGGTGCACCACCATGATCCAACACACCATAACTAAACATATTCCAAATGGCTATTGGTTCATAACTTGAAAAATTCATATTTGGTCGATACCCCATGTGGAATATATGAGTGTTAATACAAATACAATACACAAAAACATACATATCGTAGCACAAAGGATAATTGAAGCTTACCACTCGGCTTGGCGATTATGTATACTAGAGGAGAAATTATTTCCTCCCTCCTCATTCGCCCGTGGAGATAAGCTTAGATCCGGCCAAACTCTTTCAGCCGGAACCTGTTCGGCTAAAACAACTCCAAAATAACCACCCAATGCTTGAGGGATTTCCCTACTTTGCGCAACCTCATTATTGCGAACGTCTTCAACCTTGACGTACATTTCCAACAATTTTATCACAACAAATTCCCTGTATTCATCCGGAGCCGCCAAAAAAATCTCTCAAATTTTCATCGTCTTCGATTTTAAACTCAACATAACAAGCAACCCCTTACGAAATCACAGAATACGGGTATCTTCCGGTTATTTTAAGATTCATTGAACGTTTGCTCACACTCATTTTATTACAAAACAACGATGCAAATCTAGCATACTCCATTGTAAGTGGCAATTTAACATGATACAGTGGAGATAAACTATAGCTTACTGAGTTATTCGCCACCACAACCTCCCCCCCCCCCCCTCAATATAATGAAACCCTTATTCTTCGCTCTTCAGACATTATGACAAAATGCAAAATAACTTAATGAAGAAATATTTCAGAAGNAAATATAATGAAACCTCAATTTTTCGTTATTCATACATTATGACAAAATGCAAAACAACTTAACACTTGAAAAGTTTTAGAACACTTGAAGATGTTTATGAATGAATTTTTACAAAATCCTTCACCTTTTTAAATAAGGCAAAAACCAGCCCAGGGGTTCAATTATTAGAGGTATAATTGTTGCTATACCTAACTGGCCAAACGGCCGTTAAAGTATAGCGTCTTTTAAAAAGATGCTATATATATTTTGATAACTATTTTTTTTTCCACACATTTCGGCCACTTGAGTCGAAAAGAACTACATTTTGGTTCCAGACTCCTATAGGAAACTAAAGCAGCCAAACCAAGCAGCCCAGCAACAAATTTACAGAAAAAGACAGTGGGTACAATCAGCGTCACGACAGCCACAAGCTGCTAGCCCATCACAAGAAGCTTCTGTTGAACCCATAGAGGCTAGACCTCTACAGCCAAGCTTGTAAGGAATAATTAAGGAACTCTGAATGTGAAGCTACAGACTCGATCCTGGCACACATTTACATGGTATGCTACACAATTATTAATAAGTTCTGACTTCATATTCCTGAGTTGTAGATAATAATAATCTAAACTGAGGCAATCTTTCGGGCTTCACTTAACCTTACATCAAACAGAGTTGCCTACATATCCATTCAAGATTTGTTTCCTTGCTTTCCTTTTTCAATCAAACCAAAAAAGAAGTATCAAGGTGTTGAAAAAATTACGAGATTCAAATAAGAAAGATGAATCTGGAATAAAAGGAGCTTTTACAATAAGAGAATGAAAATTCACAAGTAAATCTCCATCCATTGATGCAACAAAGTGGCAGGTTATTGTCAAGTAAATGAACTGCATATCATGATCTCTAGAGTCGAGATTGAGGAATTGAAGGTCAATAATGCTTTGGTATGACAAGATTCAACGGGCATTCCAGATGGGAAATATCAAATAACCTTCCCCACACGTACATTTGAATCCAAATATCAACCAAGTTTGATCATACTAATTGTTCTCATAATCATCCATAATTCACAGTAAAAAGCCACTTCAAGACAAGAAATGAACTAAAAAGTAAAAAATCAACAACTTAAGGGGATTAGGTATGCCTCTTGGTGAAATGCTAAGGTGCTCGGACTCGGTGCGGGTCTAGAGATTGGATCCTTCATAATCTAAATTTTACGATTCAGTAAGGATTCAGGTACGGTTACAGGTGGGGGGATTCGGCCAAAAATAATTCAAATATCTAAAAATAGAGTTATAAAGATATATTTAAATTATGAGACATTATGTCGAAAAATTAAAAGGTATTTTAAGAAGGAAAAAATATTGATCAAGAGGGGAATCCGAGAAGGAGATAAAAGGAAAAGGACTGACACAAAAATTTCTATACGCACGGTATTTTTTTATTTCACCCTAACTTTTGTTTTGATTTCAAAAACCATTGTCTCTGTCCTGAATTTCTCCGTCGATTTTGGTCAAAGTACCCAAAATTGGTTGACTAGATCTGGTTCGGATCCTACACCAACGTAGTGTCGACACGGGTGCGGCACTAAAAGTGAAGAGTCCGAGCAACTTAGGTGAAATGAGCTCACCCACCTTCGACCATGTAGGTGGAAGTTCCAATTTCCATTTTGTTTGCCCTTCTGCCTACCTTTCCCTTCCCCCCTATATTATAAAAAAGAAGAGAAAAAAAGCTTAAATTGTACATGAAAATTTAAGCTTTTAATTGTGATAGAAGCATAATTATAGGGTCAGCCCTTTTACAGTTTATTTACCGATCCGGTCAGCCTCAACAGAGTAAAACAAACTTGTAAAATGAAAGAAATCCAAACTTGACTTGTTATCCACATATCAACAGAGGGATCTATCATATTATTATATAAAACATCATTTGGAGAACCACATATTTTAGCTCAGTCAGCTGTAGGTACTTTTCAAGATTCAGCAAAGAGTATTATCTGGATCCTCTCTATTCAGATTTAAACCCCTGTACGTTTAGTTCATTGACAAAAAAAAAAAACAGAACGTTCATAATGCCCTTGACGAGAGTTGCAGCATCACAACTATAGATTGTTAAACAAGCTTTTTGATTAGAACTATAAATTTTTAAATAAGATTGATTCATTAGAAATGCAAGTTCCACGGCAGAAATGTTTCAAACATTTTCGAACATTCTATAAATGGAAATATGCCACATATCTTTAAGATGCAGGTAATAATATGATTTTCTTTGTATGATTGTTCCAAAATGTGTGGAATCTTCATATTATGATAATACCAACACCAACACTAGTATACAGTTCTGCCACGTAAAATGGAGGAGTACAAATAGAGATGGGAGGCATTAAGAAACTGGAAAAGCAAGCATAAGAAATTTGGAAAATAAAAAGAACTATAGGATATAAACAACAAGCAAGATGTCTGTTAAATGATTCGATCAGACTTATATTATTGAGGGAAAAAAGCTTATTTGAAAGACATTTAATTCTAAACGAAATGCTGGCAGGAAGTACAGCACTTAGACATATTTATCCCAGAGAGAGAGATTCTTATATCATAACAAATCTATTATGATGGTCAGCAATTAACCTTACAGGAAAAATTATCACTATATTTATCTATGTTGCTCGAACTCTCCGAAAATGTGGCAGGATACGTGTCGGATCCACCAAAAGTAGTGCATTTTTGAAGGATCCGACACGGGTGCGGCTACATTTTGGAGAGTCCGCGCAACATAGATATTTATTCCTTTTTCTACTATATATGGTCAGCATAAACTTACTATAAACAATTGTCTCAAAAGAATCTTTCACACAAACATCTTACCTGTTTTCCTCCTAATTTGAAACTTTGATGCAGGATAAGAGTCAAAGATAATCAAAAGCATCAGCATGTCTAAACAAAACAGATTGATGAGCAGCGTGCGGACCTACACTTACCCAAGTGTACGAAATTTGGAATATCAATTGCCCATAAATAAACCATTTAAATGAAAATTGATAAAAGCTAACAAAAGGCGTCAATCTTCTAACAAGACTTAACCAGCAGCCCTGAGGGGCTCGTATCTAATGATGGAGACTTTCAAACAACACAAATATCTAAGAAAGCCACTAAAAGCAAAATGGACCATGGTATATCAAGGAAGAGAAATTTGTGATTGAAACACGATCAGCTAAGCAAGGATGCCCAGATGAATTAAAACAAAGCATAACTAACTTAATTGTCCTTTCAGAAGTGCTGGAATTGTACAGAGGCCACCTAATCAAGTCTCTAACTTTCTGATTCCATTCTTATAATTTATTTTGCTCAATACACTTGTAAACTCCCCAAAAGAATAAAATTCAAAGAACAAAGTGATGTACAATTTCGCATCAGATCTCACTTATCTCCATGAAAGTCCTGATTTACAATGGTACTATTTATATACCAAAACATCCAAAAAAAAAAAACATCTTTATACAATCCATAGAGTCTAAGGAATCTGGTAAGGCATAAACTACTATTCAATGACACAGAAATTAAATCACACTAATTAGTGCTTCACAAGAAAATTCACAGACCAAACAACAAAATAAAATATAGAAACACTGATTTTCTATCCTATTCATATCTTTTACTTTAGTATAGGAAGGTTCAATTATTTTCTTTTACAAATAATCTTATATTCAACTGCTTATTATACGTTTCAACACTTTTATCCAAACATGTAACTGCTTATTAAATCAGTTTTAGCACTTAAAAAGTGTTTTAAGCATTTAATGTTTTTCAGCTACTTCAAATCAGCTATGCCAAACGGGCTCTATATCTATTCCGCCTTATTCGGGCCCATTCCATTTCAACAGATCATGGCTACAAAAAGAAATCCTAAATTCCTAAACCACTAGTTTCATTAACACTGAACCAAAAATGTAAGGATATAACAATTACCTAGAACAACACACTCATATTCTTCAACTGTCTTTGCCAAAAAGGCGGTGAAGGCGTGAAGCAAAGCGGCCAGTGGGGTCAATAGCAGCTTCAGCAAGTAAGCTTTGCCTGATATGATTCATTCGCTGAACAAGTCCTTGTTGTTCTTCCTCCAGCGCAGCATTATCCTCCATGAGATCATGTATCCGATACTTTTGCCCGAGTGATCGAACGCTCAATAAAAGGATTCCAGTCATAGCGAAGAACTGTATGAAACTGTCTTTTCTCTTCATTGCGTTTGCAAAGAAGCTTAGTGACTTGTTAGGGTTTTGGAAGCCGCCGGAAGCGGCGGAGCTTGGTGGTGGTATAGGAGAAGCCATTATTAGGGTTTCCTGGAGCTGCCGGGAAATAATATCGCCGGAAGCTTGTAAATAATGCCCTTAGGAATTTGCAGCAGTCCGACGGGTCAAGTGGTTAGTGATGAGTGAATTATAATGGAGAAAATGGAAATGTTTTTGTTGTTAAATTGGGTACCGCATAAATGGCGTATTTGGTCCCCAAGTGTGACCTTTCTTGACACTTTAGTCCCAATGTAAACATGATGTTAAAAAATACCTCCTCCGTCTCATATTAGATGAGATGTTTTCCTTTTTAGTTTGTTCTAAAATAAATAATATATTTCTAAATTTGGAAATAATTCAACTTAAACTATTTCATTTTACTCATTTACCCTTAATGAAAAGCTTTTATAGCCACATAAATGTTATAGTCTCACAAACCTTTTACCCCTTAAGCTTTTAAGACCACAAGTTTCAAAAGTCTTCTTCTTCTTTTTAAACTATGTACCGAGTCAAACTACCTCATCTAATATGAAATGGAGGGAGTAATTTCTTTTTATATTTAATAAATTTCTAATTCCAACATTCTCGTTTATTCGTAGTGACTAGGGGTGCTTATCGGGCGGATCAGACGGATAATTACGCTTAATGGTTCGGCGTAACGGTTATTGGATTATTAATATAACAATCTGATATCCATCCAATAAGATAACGAGCAGATTGGTATCGGATTAACAATTATCGGACGGTTATCGATGACTTATCGGCTAAACCAAATAGAAATTTTTTGAACAATCATTCAAACTATACCAAATAGTTTCAAATCAATATAAATTTTTTAATACCATCTAAAATCTAACCAAATGGTATTTTTTAATTGAAGAGTCTTCAAGATTACCCATACTGTCATACACATATTAACCAAATTTTTAATACCATCAAGACTACTCATATAAACATACACGTATTAATTATTGAGATTTCGATTTTTCGACTTCTCAGTTCAAGAGAGAGACGAGACTGACGACTTCTCTGCCTCTAATGGCTGCAGACAATTGAGAATTAGAAAATAAAAATTAGGGATTTAGCCATTTAGGATTTCAATAGTACTTTATATACATATGGGTAAAAGTGTAAATATAAAAATTCTTAATGGGTTAACGGTTTACCCGATAAGAAAATTGAGTAATCTGCCCCCAAACCATTAAGTCGTTAACTATAAAATCTCAATTCGTTCACCATCCATTACCCCGATAATCCGATACCAATAAGCTAATAAATTATCGGTTCGGTTCGGTTAACAGTTTCGGTTCAGTTTTGAACATCCCTAGTACTGACACTCCCTAACTGACATGACATGTTTACAACACAAGTGAATAACTAGCACAGTGTGTTTTTAAACATAACGGATACTAAGGACCCGTTTGGCCATAGATTTTGTCAAAATATATTTGGATTTTTTTTTGGCAAATACATGTTTGTTCATAAATTTTATCTATATTTTGGCAAATTCCCAAAACCCAAAACCAACTTGGCCCAAAATATTACTATTATATTTTTTAAAAATTGCCCCAAACTTTTGTATTTTATAAAAGAGTCCATCATTTATTATTTGTAACAATGCTGCTTCGTCTTCTCGGTCATCTGATAGTGTATTATGTGGTTCATTATAAAAAAGACAATTTTGTACCAAATTTATTTATGTTCAGGACTATGGTTTGCGATAATATAATGAATGTTATTGATGAAGGTGCTATTGGGTATTTGTGATAATTTTTAAAACTTGTGGGTACAAGTCATGTTTCATATTTTTCTAAAATAAAGTTGAAAATATGTTTTGAAAACGTATGTTCAAACACATTTTCATCTTCAAATCAAACTTCACCTAAATCAGATTTTTCAAAACAAATTTGGAATATATGGCCAAACGCTAGCTAAACTACTTATGCGTATGTTTGAAGAATTATTTTAGAACAACCCGTAGACACAATACCACAAGGGTTATTTTTGTTATCTCCTCTTAAGCGTGTCCGCTGTCCTAAATATAATGAGCTAACAATCCAAACTGTACTTTACGACTTTGATTTGGTTGGACTTTTTCTACTTATTGTAATTTGTGTAAAACATTGAACACATTATACTTTTTCTACTGTATTTATTTGTAAGTGTAAGCCAATACATTTTCCTGTCTTAAAATAAATAGACATTATTAACAACTGTGCAAAAACAATATTAGACTGACTTATGCAATTGCAACAACCATATATTGGATTGTCACATTCAAGTCCTCGTAAAGCTTGAATGAGGCGTGTGGATAACAATGCTAAGTCATTGAAAGTGGCTCTCGTACTTAGGTGCAAAGCGACTTACTTCCATAGTTTGGTCGCTTTGAACTTCTTCTTTTTTAAAACATCTTTTTCTTTGTGAATAACAACTTCTTTACTATTATAAAATGGAATTCAGGAATATGAATAGAAAAACTTAGAAGATGATAAATCTAAAGGCAGACTCGTTTCCGGTTAAATACGTACGAGCATAAAGTAAGTAGTCACTGAGTTAGTTTTCATATTAACTATTGTATGAAAGTTTGTACACTCTTTATAAAGAATTGTGATCAATTTTAATTTTAGTGGAGATTAAACTTGTTACAAACAAATGAAAGATTAACGAAGTTATGGTGCCAATGAGAGGACAAAGGTGGTCTAGCAAGGATAAAAGTGTTCATATATTAACTATCATAGAAGTTATGGTGCCAATGAGAGGACAAAAGTGGTAAAGATAAAAGTGTTCATATATTAACTATCATAAGAGGGTGATAGTCCATTCCAAAAGTCCTGGAGTTGCATCCACAATTCGATTTCATTATGCTGACACCTTCTCACTATCACCTTGAATCTTTCCCGAACTTCGAAAACCGTTTTACTGTCCTTCTGGCAGAAGTTGTGTATTTTCCTTCAGAATTTTACTGTTTTTGAAGCTGAGAAGTACTTATCAAGAAACTTTTTCGTCATATTTTCCAATGTCCTGATCGATCCAGTTGGTAAGCTTCAAAGCCAGTGCTTCGCGTCATCATTCAGTGAAAAGGGAAATTCCCTTCAAAGACATAGTTGTTCTAGATGATTTGAGGCAAGCCTTGCTTCAACTCAAAATTATTCGCTGCTACGGGTGGAGGTCTGACACTTGATAGCTCCTGATTGTAGACTGGTCTGACATAGTCACCTAATACTCTCCCAGGCCTGAGGGCCGCATTTTCAAACTGGTCTTCAACTAGGGGTCGATTTAGATTGAACCTTCGACCCCTATTGTGATGACCCAAAAGGTCGTCTCTTGTTTTAGAAATCAATTATGTGTTCCAAGGCCTTAAAAACCTCCTTTTATCTCACTTTGATTTACGTGCGCAGCGCGTTTCCGGAAAGCTTTTATGTGAACTTTAAGAGAAAAATTGGATTTGGCCTTTAACAATTGATTAAAGTTGACTTCGGTCAATATTTTTGGTAAATGAATCCGGACCCGTGATTTGACGGTCCCGTAGGGTCCGTAGTAAAACATGGGACTTGGGCGTATGCCCGGAATCGAATTCCGAGGTCCCTAGCCCGAGAAAAGAATTTTTAAAGAAAATTATTTGCTGAAAAATATAAGGACTTTTGGAAATTAAATGGCGTGTGTTTTTTATGGTATCGGGCCCGTATTTTGATTCCGGAGCCCGGTATAGGTTTAAAATAATAAATAAGTTGAATTTGTGAAATTTGGTAAGAATCGGAGTTGATTTGGTATAAATCGGACCTTTAGTTGAGAAAATAGAAATTTCAATATTCTTAAAGAATTTCATGAATTTGAAGTTAAATTCGTAGTTGTTGATGTTATTTTGATGATTTGATCGCACGAGCAAGTCCGTATGATATTTTTAGACTTGCGTGCATGTTTGGTTTGGAGCCCCGAGGGCTCAAGTGAGCTTTGGATAGCTTACGGTGTGATTTGGACTTAGGAAAATGCAGTTGTGCATCTGGTATTTTTGCACAGACCTCTGATCTCGCAATTGCAAGATCAGGCTTCGCAATTGCGAAGTGATCACGCTTGGGAAATGCGACCAATATGTCGCAAATGCGAACCAGGCCTGGGCAGGCCCTCATCGCAAATGCGAACTCTGGGCTGGATATTGCGAAGGCCCCTACGTCGCAAATGCGAAGGTAGCAGGTTCTCAAAGGGTTGGCAAATGCGAACCCTTGATCACAATTGCGATAATTGCACCTGTTAAGTGGGATTTCAGATGGGATTTTTCATCATTTTACAACTTTCTCAAACCCTAAACATCCTTAGGCGATTTTTCAAAGGCTCAAACTTCTCCAAATCATAAGTAAGTGATTTCTAACTCATCTTCTTCAATCTAATCCATCTTTTTACATAATTTCACTTCAAAATCTAGGGGTTTTCATGGGAAATTGGGTGTTTTTGGGTAGAAATTAGGATTTTCAAATTTTGGGTATTTGGACCTCAATTTGAGGTCCGATTTCAAAACTAATTGCATATTTGAGTTCGTGGGTGAATGAATGATCGTTTTTTGGTTCAAACTTCGAGTTTTGACCCAGCGGGCCCGGGGTCAATTTTTGACTTTTTGGGGAAAACAATGAAAAATCTATTTTCATGCATTAGAATTGGTTTATTTAACATTTATTGATGTCATTAATTAAATTATGACTAGATACAAGCGGATTGGAAGGGGAACCGAGAGGCGAAGCGGTAATTGAGGCTTGATTTTATTTGTGGAATTGAAGTAAGTGTTTGGCCTAACCTTAGCTTGAGGGAATAGAAGTTGTGCTCTTATTTGTTATGTGTTAGAATCGAGTACGACGTATAGGTGTGATGACGAGTATCTATACGTTGATGTCAAGCATGCCCGTGAGTCTTATACCATGATTGTTGTGACTCTATTATGCACTATTCATGCTTAAATTGATAATTATCAATATTGAACAAGGCTTATGATAATTGACCATTGTGGAGTATTGTCTCAAGTTGAGATCCCTTTTGTAAAGTAAATGTTAAAATGAGATTGGTTATAGCTAATTCCCTTGCCAGGATGTTATTGTTTATATTATTGATTCCCTTGTCGGGACGTATTATTTATATTGTTTGGATGAGGAAGAGTGTAAA